AAACTAAAGCAAAATTTATCCATGTACAAAGATGCACATGGAACAGAAGTACGTATCTCTCTCAAAGAACAGTCCAAAGCTAGAGGTTCAGAGATAGGTGTGTGCACATGCATGTGTGAGTGTGTGTGTGTGTGTGCGTGTGTGTCTATGTCTGTGTCTGTTTCTATTGAGGAAGGATTAGGAAAATGCTTTCTCTCTACTCAGAAATGTAAGAATAAATTCAGTTTAGAAGGAGAGTAATGTGCCATCATGAGACATCCAAGGTTTCTCTCCTTACCACCATTTCATCCCAGAAGAAGGAAGAGACGACAGAAGAGCATGAATGTTTTCAAGACATGATTTGAATGGCATTCATCACCTTTACTTACATTTATGGGAGAGGGCTTAGGGCTGGCTGCAGAGAAAGCAGGAAAATATACTCTGTGGCTAGATGGCTTTGTTTGTTATGATCATGTTATCCTATGGAAGAAGTAGGATATAGAAGAGTGGCCAACTTGCAATCACCACCATATCTTCTACACACTTTCATGGTCTTAATAATCAAACTCTCCTAACTTTAAAAACTTGAAGATAAGAGGTAAATCCAAGAATTCATAGCCTTGCATCTCTGTAAAACAAGCTGTCCCTATGAGTTAGTCATCTGCAATGAAAATGCATTGCAGAACTGCTTAATGATGTGCTGAGAGTCCTCGATGAACTATTCCACTTTCCTATTTACAGAAGGCTATGAGAGTAAAATCAGAAAATATATATGATAGCTGTTTAGAAACGTGGAAATCATTATATATCTAAACAGTGTTAGAGATTTAATTGAATGGCTCCTTCATTGTCCAGATCTGAAGAATCAGCTTAGACATACATAGGAAGCCAGGCCCAACATTCTCATAATCAAATGAAAGATAATGACTAATAGACGAACCAAGAAATCAATCAACTCCAAATGGAGAAAACAGAGAATATACATAAGCAAGAATAAAAACATGTCACAGTGCAGCTGCTGCTCCTTTGCTTAAAATGAGTTACACAAATGACAAGCAGAACAAGCAACACGGGCGGCACAAGTGTTAGGATCATTCAGCTCAAAGAACAGTCAAATGGACTACCACCTATTACTGACACTGAGGTTTGGAGATCAGTGAAACTTAGAGGCAAAATCAAGTTGGGGACCCACCTTTATCAATGAACCCTAGGTATAGAGTCCTCAGAAAACACTGAAATTTTGATTTAGAGTACAGCCAACTAAAAGGAGGAAGATAAAGAGTGAGAACCAGACCTCTTCATTGGAACCAGACAGAAAAGCAGGTCATAGCAATCTGTAAGCTTTGTAGATGCATTTTTTAAAGAACATTAAAGTAGGGGTAGGGAACGTTCTGCTCCATCCTGCATAACAACCTTGATCAATACCCTGATATGTCATGGAAAGAGGTCAGCTAAGTTAGGTAATGGAAGTCACCCGACCCATTGACCTTGTTTCAGCATGAGAGAGTCAGCGTTTGCCATTAAATGTCAGATCAATTCCCAATGATTTAAACATTTTACCCAGAACTCTCAAGTTTCCTGGAATCTTTAATAAAAAAATATCTTCAAACATTACCATTTTTCAAGAGTCAAAAGAATTACTATTTGCTATATTAGCTTAATTCATCTCCTCCATTTTTAACATTCCCATATCAATTGCTTTTAGTACCTATAAAGCAGCACATGTGTATTTTTAAAAATCTATACTGTTATTATTTTCAATGTATATTTATATTTTTATATTCATGAAGTAACTTTTCTCTCGGATTCTTTTTTTCCCTCATGTGTGTATGGTATTCCTGCATTTATGTGTGTTCACGTGTGTGTGCACACCTGTGTAGGCCCAAGCCTGATGTCAGGAGTTTTCCTTGATTGCTTTTCACTTTATTAGCTAAGGCTGTGTTTCCTAATTGACCCCAGAGCCAGTTTGTTCCTGGTATCCCCTGTCTCAAGCAGGCAGTCACACCCATAGGCATTTGCATGAGTTCAAGGGACTGAACTCAGGTCCTCAGTCTTATGTGGCAGATGCTTAACGAGCCATCTACTCCTTTTTCTTTTAATTGATTTTTAAAAAATATTTTATTATTATTTTATGTGTATGAGTGTATTGCCTCCATGTATGTGAGTGTGCCTGTGTCATGTGATGCCACAGAGGTCAGAGGAGGGCTTCAGATTCTCCTGGAACTGGAGTTAAGGACTATTCATAGCCGCCCTGTGGGTGCTGGGAATCGAATCCAGGTCCTCTGCAAGAGCAGTCAGTGCTCTTAACTGCTGAGCCATCTCTCCAGCCCCTTAACTGATTTTTTACTTTACATGTAAGCGTGGCATGTGTGCAATGCCTGTGGAGGCCAGAAGATGGTGTTGGATCCCTGAAATTGAAGTTACAGATGGTTGCTGGTTGCCATGTGGTTCTGGGAACTGAACCGAGGCCCACACCCTCCAAAGCAACAAGTGCTTTTGACTGCTGAACCGCCTCTCCAGCCCCAGCCCCTGGGTTTCTTATTAAACAACATACTGTAAAGTCTTTTTTGCTATCTTCATGCCAGAATAACTCTTATACAGCAGATATGTGTGAAAAGGCATTTCCTCCTTTAGGTCTGGGAAAGTCATGTTTAACATATCTATTATCCCATATGATGCTGCACACTTGGTAGTCAGTTGATAAATAACTTAGTGCCTCTCTGAAGTAGACAGGGTCAAGGTTAAGGAGGTAAACTGGAGGCCCATCCATCTAACAACCAGAACTTTAGATACAATATCATAGATTTCCTCTCAGAGAAAAATGGGTCAGGTTCATTGGCCCGCCACAAGGATTAAGTCTGGGTTTCAAGTAAAGGCCCTAGGGTATGAAGAAAGCCTTTGTCATTCTTCAGAACTCCTCTCTCATGCCCTTTGTCTAGCACTGTGCAAAAACAGCCATTTAGCAGGGATAATTCTTATTTCATTTTTTTCTATCTCAGAAATCACCAAAAGATTCTCATGTCCAGAGACTGATACATCATTCTGGTGGGCCTGATACATGTTATTTTAATGACTGAATGATTAAATGGGCTAACAATTACTGATCCAAATTTCCAGTTGGTACTGCTACTTGATGGTGTTACTTCTCTTAGGTGTGACAAGTTGTAGTCTGAAATAACACCTAATTTAGATACAAGTTCAGTTTCGGAGCTGCTGAGAAAAGGATGGGCGAAGATTACAGCTCCTTGCACACCAGCCTCCCACTCCCATTGTATCTGCTGTACAATTATTGCTGTCTTGCCTGCCAAAGTTCCATTAAGGGCTCTAGGGCTCCAGGCACTGGCATGGGTGCTCTACTAAATTTAATCCTCAAAGATGACTTTTGCTTGCCAGCTGGGTACATCAAACCAAAGAAATAATATCAAGCAATATAAAAGGATCCATTTTACCTAAACATTTGGAGAAAGCCAATGTGAAGAGAGGCTTTTTTGCTGGTGTGATTTTTTTAAAAAAAAAATCAGTTTTACTGTCAGTTCCAATATTCATGCCAAAACAGGCAATACTGCCAGTAGGTAACTACTGAGATCTGTTAGCCTTTGGCTGCTTCTCAGGCAAGGTTTTGGTTTTACAGCTGAGCTGGGGTGATGGCCCTGTCTGAGTCTGGATGTGTGTGTAGCAGAGTCAGCAAAGGGTACTAGCTGCCCTCTGCTCTTCCACTGACCTTGGATGAGGGGAGGCCAGCCTGGTGGTAGGGAAGGCACTTGGCTGCCCTTCCCTGCTCAGACTGCACTTTGCAGTGGGATCTTTGCATCCAGTTACGGGACTCTTCACTGTAAACATTCACAAACTGAGTTATTCGGCATTGGCTTTCTGGATTGTACTTAGCTGTTTGTTCATCTACTGCCTTAAGGTACAAATTCCTAAAAAACAAGTAAATAAAAAAAGCAAGAATCATCATCATTGTCTCGAATTGCGCCACCTGGAATCTGCTTTATTCCCCACTGACTCCCCATGTCTATCTGTCTCTTTCTCTCTGTCTCTGTTTCTCTCTCATTTTCCAAGAGCTGTATATTTGCATTGTGATGTTTTTCATGTTAGAAGTAGATGGCTGACAAAATCCAGTGCTTTTTTTTTTTTCTTCCTAGATTTTGATGAAAGTGAGCCAATAAGGACTGGTTTTATAATGACAGTCATGCTCTGCTTGGTGACCTTTGACCTCCCCCAGGGGATCTTGTGGTTAATGTGATTGTACTCTGGACATGTGCGCCAGAAGGCATGTATTCAAGACCAGCAACAGTGGAAGGTATCTAGTGGATGAATATAGCTTACTGGGCAGAGAAAATAACTAGGTAATTTTGCCCATCAAAACCCCCAATTAACAGTTATTTACAGCCCACTGGTCTGCAGCTTCAACTGCCTGATCAGATGTACTCATGTTAGTACAGTTCCTCACTCAAATAGAAATCACCTGCCATGGACTGGCTGGCAGAGGAGCAAGTGGGGCGGAGGAGTTTGGGAAGAGAATAGTTGCAGAGATAGGTGGATTAATGTCCATGATCGGAATCAGAGCCTAGCCACTTTCACCAGGCAGTGACCCGGGATGCCCTGCTTCCAGGCAATGCAGATGGGCCTCCAGCCAGACAGCCATCTCCCAGCCCTTCCCCTCCAGCTGTCTCAGCATCAGGGTCCCATGCAGCATCCCACAATCCTATTCCCTCCTGTCTCTTGGGTCAGGCAATCTCAAGCAATCTTCACTAATCCTACTCCAAACTTGCTTTATTTCCAAGTTGAATATTTCCAAGGCTTTGCAGCAACACAGAGAGGGGCTGTTTTAGATAGGAAAGGAGGACAGAATATTGGAAGGGAGCTCTCCTCGACAGATGGAAATGAGAGTGGTCTGACTAACTAACTGGAGACAATAAAGGTGTTAGCAAAGAGGAAGGTGTGGAAGAGTGGGCCCCACAGAATATTGGCTGTCCTACGTGCTGCGTGCTGTACCAGAGCCAGCCAGAGCTGCCTAGCTAAGCCTTGGTATTAGCATGTGGCTGCCGCAGATTCACAAAGTACTCGCTGGCCTTGTCAGTATCACACGTCCTGAGCGAGTTCCTGTCCAACTGAGGCAGGTGCCCCAGCTCTTTGCCGTCTGTTTCTCCTGATCCTTCCTTTTCTTTGGGCCATTCCTTCTCTTCTACTTCCTTGTTCTCTTCCTTGGGCCTGCTTCTTGTATTCTCACCAGCTTTCCTTTCAGAATTTTTTTTTTCTTAAACTAAGGGAGAACCCCAACTTCAGGGATGTCCAGTCTTTGGGAACCAATTCCTCTAAAATCACAGCCATCTAGCCATTTCCTCCGTGTAAAGAAAACCTAGGTGTTGCCTAGAGTGGTCCCTGTGCACAGTATTTGAATTGTAGCAAGAACTCTGACGGTGGACTGGTGGGCTGGCGATGTAGCTCAGTGGTAGAGCACTTATGTGGTGTCCTCATTTCCATCTCCAGCACTGCAAAAACCAAGCAAATGAACAAGACTTGAGAAAGCACCACTGAAATCTGAAAGCACCACTGAAACGAGATCTGAAAGCGGATGCTTACCACCCACCCTCTCTCAAATTTTGCATCCTCTCACAACCAAGCAAATCACAACTTGGAAGAATTTGAAAAGCTCATAAGGTTACACATTCAACAAGGGTGAAAGGGTCACTTGAGACCTCACTTCCCTGACCCCCCTCCCCTTATGAATTTTAATATTGAAAACTAGAAGCCACATCTCCTTTAGACCTCTAGTTCAGGTTATGCTTGGGTCCCTCTGCATTGAAACAAAGCCAAAGGACGGAGCTGCTTTTGTTCTCCTGGGACCTGTGACCTGAAGGAAGTCATTCAACCTACTGGTTTTCAGTAGTCTCCTTCCAGCTGAGGAACTGGGCTTCTACCTCTGAAATCCAATGACCCTTGAAGCTTAACTTCTTTCAACAGAATACCTGTGTTTCTAAGTAAATAGTGTTCTCAGTCCTCTCTGCTAAAAGAGGTTAAGTAAATAAAAAGGAAAGATCAGGCTATGCTTTAGGCCTAGATTGTAACTTGGTAATCAGGGACGAAGGACGTTGATAGCAATAAGTAAGCTTCCAGGGTCTACCATTTACAATTTAAATACTTTACTGAGGAGGTTAAAAGTTCAAAGTTGAGTCACAGTCTGAGGTGGCTCTGCTCTTCCCTTTTAATTATCTGAGGTCAGGAAGTTAATAATACCAGAAATCCCCAATGGAGACCTCCTGTACACTGTGTGAACTTTAAACTTGCTCCCCCTCCCTTTTATTTTATTTTTTTTTAAATGGGTAAAAAGTTCAGTAGAAACACAGTGGACTTTTCCTCTTAGCCTCCACCCATTCATCCCCCAAGGTCAAAAGTTCAACTGTAAAACAGAAAGCCTTGTTCTCTGATCCACATTTAAACAGATCACTTATTAAAAGGTAAACATTCTCAACTCAAGCCAAAGTCCAAAATGATTCTGTTCAATAAAAAATGAAAATATTGTAATAAAATGAGTCTTTGATCTTTATCATTTGCCTTGGAATTGAACATCAGAATTTATTTTATAATTTTTTTTTTCAATCTCAGGAAGAATACCCTCATGAGATCTTCATCCACTTCAGCCCTGAGATTGGTCTTCCTAGAAAAGATAAAACTAAGATTTTTTTAAGTAGTTGTTTTTATTGCCTTAAGACAACTTTTATAGTTGGATTCTACACTTTTTAGGTTTATTCTTCTGCTCACACAGGAGTTTAAGATTCACAAAATGTGTTTTAAGCCAGAGAAGTATAAAGTACTGTGGAATTTAAAAGTGTTTGTTAACATGGTGGAGGATACAGAAAAAATTAATGAATGCATGAACTGCATGAACATCGTAGGAATCAAAGAAACTCCATATTTGAGATCTCCAAAATGCTGAAGTTCAAACATTCAGCTAAAAAAATAGCTATGAACTCCAAAAAGGCATTTAAGAGTGGCAAGCCTTCAACGTGACTTGAAGCTTTCTAAGAGCATATCCTACAAAGCTGTTATTTTATACGGACTCCCAAGTGCCCTCTTTTCAAAAAGCAAATGACACAGAGTCCGCTGTTTTTAGTGCCTGGTTATTAGTCAATGCTTTCACTCATTTTTTAAAAAAAGATCTTACCCTGAACATGAAAAATATAAAAGTCAGGAGCCATGAAGCCTCTCAGACAAGTCACGTCTCAGGCAGGTCATGTGCTGGTCAAGAATTCCAACCTGCCGATAAGTAAGCTTCATGGCCAACTCTCTAATTAGTGAGTTTCATGGCTGAGACATCTCCAACTCACTGATAAGTAAGTTTTATGGTTGAAACATCTGGCTTAACGATAAGTAAGCCCCCCCGCTCTCCCTATAGCATTTTGTAATAGTTTAAACTAGCCAATAACCACGCTTCTGCTTCTGTAAGCTGCTTCTGCCCTATAAAGACCCCAAACCCCAGACCTGGGGCGCGCTTCTCCCTTTGTCAGGAGCTGTGCCCACAGGTACCTGTGTAAAATAAAAGCCTCTTGCTATTGCAACTCGAGGGCTCGACTTGTCCTTTGTGGTTTCAATTTTACAATGGGATTTTAGGTTAGGGGTTCTCCAGCCTACCATCTGAACTCTTCCACATTCCTATAAACCAGTTCCAAAGGCCTATATGATCAAGTTTATCACAGAAACAGCCTGACTCATTGGTACCAATTTTCTATGTTAGTTACTTTCCTTTTGTAACAGAAGATATGACAAAAAAGTTAAGGGAAGGATTTATTTTGGCTCATGGTTTAAGAAGTAATATAGCCCATCATGGTGAGAAGACATGCCAGCAATGTGACCACTGGTTACACTGTGTCCCACAGTCAGGAAGCAGAGAGAGATATATGTTGGTATTAGCTTGCTTTTTCTTTTTCTTTTTCCTTTTCAGTCACCCAAAAAATGGTGCTACTTTCAAGGCTGTGCTCCTCAGTTAAACCCCTCTGGAAACATCCACACACACACACACACTCAGAGGTGTACTTCCTACTCTAAATCCTGTTAAAATGACAAGTTAGATTAATCAGCTCGTTAGTATAGTTAACACAAACCCTCCAAACCTTCCAAAACTAAAATTCAGCAAATACTAGAACTATACATTACCTATTATCTGAATTTTTATATTTAAAACATTACTTCTTTGACTTAAATGGCCATGGATGAATTGACACATATGCAAAGGGGATTTATAAAACCACCATTATGTCAGCTGGTAAGATTTCGAAATACCCATACTTCAGTTGACTTCTGCATTTCTAGGTGTTAAGAAAAAAGAAAAGTAGAAGGCAGACTGTGAATGTGTGAAAAAATGTAACACCGGCATGCTGCTCAAAGTGGACTTTGTACCCAGTCAGGCGATTCTACAATTTTTTTTTTGGTCTTTTGAGACAGGGTCTCCCTGTAGCCGCAGCTGTCCTGGAACTCACTATGTAGA